CTGATAGGATTTCAATCTTCTTAAATTTATTGAGGCTTGCCTTGCTTCCCAAAACATAGTCTCTCCTTGAGAATACTTCACGTGCATTGGAGATGAATGTGTATTCTGGTGTTTTGGGGTGGAGTGTTCTATATATATGTATAAAGTCCATCTGCTTTAGTTTTTCATTTAAATCCACTATTTCCTTGTTGACTTTCTGTCTGGATGATCTATCCACTCATGCAAGTAGATTGTGTTGTTGTTGTTATCTGCTTTTACGTTTGTTGATACTTGCTTTATGTACTTTGGTGCTCCTGTGTTGGGTGAACATATATTTATAAGTCTTATGTCTTCTTGGTGGAGTGTACCTTTTATCATTATATCCTGTCCCTCTTTGTCTCTCATTACCTGTTTTATCTGGAAGTCTACTTTGTCTGATATAAGCATGGCAAGCCCCTCTTTCTTTTATTTGCCATTAGCTTCGAGTGTTGTCTTCCATCACTTCACTCTGAGCCTGTGTTTGTCTTTGGAGCTGAGATGTGTTCCCTGGAGGCAGCATATTGTTGGGTCTTGGTTTTTAATCCATCCCACCACTCTGTGTGTTTTGATTGGAGAATTCAATCCATTTACATTTAGAGTGATTATTCATATATAAGGGTTTAATGTTGCCAATTTATCACTCATTTTCTGGTTCTTCTGCATTTCTTTTGTTTCTCATCTTGTGTATTTTGGACTACAAATTCAGTTAGATAGTTTTCTCTTTATTTATCATTTGTGTCCCTGTTCTGATGATTTGTTTAGTGGGTACCATTAGGTTTGTATTAAAAAAAAATCTCATAGATGAGACAGTCCATTTTCTGATAGTCTCTTATATCCTTAGAATAAGCCAGTTCCATCCCTTCCGTCTTCCCCTTAAACTTATTATTGTCACAACTTATTCCATCTTGTGGTGTGAGTTTGTGGTTAAAATGACAAGATTATATCTATTTTTGGTGTTTTCTTCTCTTTATCTTTAATGTTATAATTGTTTGCTAACCTGTTCTGACAAAGAGCTGCAATTTCCTGATTTTGTCTACCTATTTATCTCCTTGCTCAAGGCTTTGTAACACTTTCTTTTTTCTTCAGATTTGAGGGCCTTCTTGAGCATTTCTTGTTTGGAAGGGTGTCTTGTGATGATGAACTCCCTCAGCTCCCTGTTTATCTGGGGAAATTTTTATTTCCCCATCATATCTGAAGGATATTTTTGCTGGATTGAGTATTCTTGGCTGAAAGTTTTTGTCTTTCAGAATTTTCAATATATCATTCCACTGTCTCCTAGCCTGTAAGGTTTCTGCTGAGAAATCTGCTGAAAGCCTGATAGGAGTTCCTTTGTAAGTTATTTTCGTCTGCCTTGCTGCCCTAAATATTTTTTCTGTCACTGGCTTTTGCCAGATTTATCATTATATATCTTGGAGAAGGTCTTTTTACATTGACAAAGTTAAGAGATCTATTGGCTTCTTTCACTTGTATTTCCATCTCCTTCCCCAGGTTTGTGAAGTTCTCAGCTATTATTTCTTTGAGTAAGCTTTCTGCTCCATTCTCCTTCTCTTCTCCTTCTTGAATACTTATAATCCTTATCTTACAGTTCCTAAATGAGCCCATATTTCTTGGAGAATTTCTTCACTTATTTTTAGTCTTAGTTCTCTCTCTTCCTCCATCTGAAGTATTTCTATATTTCTGTCCTCCAGACTGCTGATTTGCTCCTCCATAATATCAGCTCTGTTATTCATGGTGTACAGATTTTTTAAATCTCATCCATTGAGTTTTTCATCTCAAACACTTCTGATTGGTTTTTTTTTATAGTTTCAGTCTCTTTTCTGAAGAAGCTCCTGACTTCATTGAAGCATCTGTATTTTCTTGTAACTTGTTGAGTTTTTTATGATAAAAAACTCAATTTAATTCTCTGTCACTTAGATTACAAATTTCTGTGCTTTCAGGATTAATGTCATTTTCCTTCTGGACTGTAGATTTAATGTATTTTTTTCATACTGTTTGATGATGTGGATTTGTGCCTCTACATAGTGATAGTATCTGAATGCAGTTTCCACCTGCCCCACCTGGGTGGGTTTCAAAAGCTCTGTATTCTGAGCTCACTGTGATCTTTGGCTCAACTGCTCACAGCTGCTGCTTTTCTGCATGTGTGGGCACACTGACTGACCAGCTGAGCTGGAGTGCTGGGCAGTGGGAGGGGTGCTTTCTTTTGTCTGTGTGACCCGGGCGGGGGGGGCATTCTCCCTCTGCCCTTGCTATCTGCTCTCCTGGGGTGCTAGCCTGATGAAGACACCCCCACAATAGCTTAATCACTTCTGTGAGGGCTTTCTCATGGTCTGTGAGGGATCTTAGAGAGCGAAGGTGTTCCCATGGAGGGTCACCCCTCTGCCCTCACCTCTCAGAGCTACATGGTCTGGAGGCCAGAGTGACATCCATTGGAGGAGGGAAAGGAGATCCCCTTACCTCCTTCCACTTCCTCAGGGGGGTTCAGGACCTCCACCTTCAGATATATGGCTGTAAGTGTCTCTCAGATGTCTTTTGTGTTCTGTGGAAGTGTTCCATTGGTATATGAATGTCCTTTTAGTTGCATCTTAGTGGGGGGAGTCTAATGGGAGCGCTTACTCTGCCATGATGCTGACATCACTGAGACTAAAGTTTTTGATGAATCTTCTCTTACAGGTGTCTGTGAGCTCCAGTGCAAGAGAGACAGGGATGGCAGTGTGTGAAGATGGTGCATCAGGAAGGGCTGTAGCCAGGTCTGCTCCCCTCTCCCTACCCAGGTAAGAAAAGACCAGGAACCCTGCTTGATTCCCCCAACAAGGTGTGCTCAGGGTTAGCCCAGCCTGGCCTTTCCAAAACTGCTGCTGATCAGAAAAGGGACAGAAACCCATCAGTATTCCTGGGGCCTATGGCCCCACTCCTTCCCTCCAGAGGGTAAACAGCTCACAGGGCTGTGGGCCCAGTATCTCATTAATAAATACCCCTTACAAAGACCTGTCATCATTTTCCTTTTCTCACAAGTAATGCTTGTTCTATAAAAATCAAAAACTAGTGATGAGTGCCTCTCTATGTATATGTACACATATATATAAAATCATCAATATTTTGGCTGCCTAGAAAACAACTATTTCCACAGCATTATATTTATTATTTATATTTATATAAATATTAATATTATCGTTATATTTTTAACTGAAAAGTCATTCTGTAAATGCTTTTATGTAACTTAAGTTTTATTGTGAGCATCTTTTGCTGTCAACACTAATTTAATATGTTTAACTTTATTCTATTTAACTATTAAATTTAATGAATATTTCTTCAATTAGTTTAGTTAGCTGTAGCCCACCATCTAGAATACAGTGCAGCCCCTCAGTAAATCACCTTCCAGTGGACATTTCAGGCGGGGTTTTTGTTTTATTTGTTCTCCTGTTTGTTGCCGCTGTTCTAAGCAAGGGCTCAGTGCTGACTCTTCTTGCTCAGTGTGGCATACCTCCTTATTAGGGCCCCGTGAAGAAACTGAGGCTACTTGGGTTTAAGTGATCATGAATTGCTCATGGTTACAAAACTGGAGAGTGGCTAAGTCAGAATTTATCCTTGGTCTGCACTTGGCAGAGTGGGAGGTGCAAGGCGCCAGAGCCTTTGAACCCCACCTCCACAGCTCACCAACCTGGGGTTTAGGGCAAGTTGCTTAACCTTAGTTTCCTCACCTGCAAAGTGGGGTAATACCCACCTCAGAGGATCGTGGTGAGGACTAAATGAGCTAATGCAGTAACAAGTGGGCCCTGACCCTAGCACACAATTTTTTTAAAAAATTAGCAGTCGGGAAAAGAATGAAGTAACAGGAAACACTGTAAGTGGTGGCAACATTACATGGATTAAGACTTTACTTCAAAATGTTGTTCTGACACTTGGGAAACAAATGTAATTTTTTTAACCCTCAGTTTCCTCATCAGTGAAATCCAGAAAATGCTATCTCTGTTACTGTGTTGTGTGAGGATTAAATGAAAGGTATGAACATATACAGTGTAAACATCTGGTGAAACCTAAGTGCCCAGAAAACCAGCGACTCTCATTGCCTGGGCCACTCTGTGGCTGAACTCACGGGAGCTGGGGTGAGCAAGAAGAGAGTGAGGGTCCACTTCTCCTCTGATTTCTGTTTCCCCTGAACAAGGCTAATTTAATCACATCTCCCAGAAGAAGAAAATGAAATAAAAATTGGATCAGAAGTGCCTACAAGAAAGGGGAAATGAAATCTGACGACTCAGGGGTTGGTTACTGCAGCCCATCCCAACTCCTGGCCCAGTGCAGAAGGAAGTGAGACAACATGGAAGAGCTTAACATGTGTATTGGGAGTTTGAGTTCTCAGAAATAAAGGTGTATGAAATGAAATGCAACTCCATCCCCAGAAACTTACATGTATCCTATGGGCAAAGACCACCGTACCTGCTAGGTGCCCAGCAGTGGAGAGAATCAGACAAAGCCAGAAGGAGACCAAAGTCACCTCCTCAAAACCAGCAGGTGACCTAGGAGCACCCCTGCTGGGTCACCCACTGCCCCTTCCTGCCCTCAGTACCAAAGGTTCTGGGCCCAGAGCAGGGAGGGGGGAAGTGAAAGAGTGGACTGCACCCTCGCCAGCCAGCATTCAGTTCCTAGGTTGTAATTTCTATAAGGACATAATCCTCTTGGCTACCACATGCCTGGCCCAGAGAAGACATTTGTTACTTGTGTTGAAAAATGAATGAATGAATGAATGAAAGCACATAATAAAAGTGAGTGCCCACCCCCACCCTTTTCTCAGTCACTCAAGGCTTTCCTGGTTTAAGAGTCTTATTTTTTGGTCAGAGGAGGATGTTTCCTTGACTCAGAGACTTGCTTAGGTAACAACGTGGCATTACCCAGCGTACACATGTTTTTTGTTCTCCAGACGTCAGTTTCTGGGCAGGGCTGAGACTCCCAGAGTCCCTAGTCCCGCCCACCCCTGACTTTGTATTGCAGCTCAGGGAGCAGAAGCACATAAATTTCTGCTGCTGCTCCCAGCCCTGTTGCTTTTTACCAAAGACTTCCAACAGCAACATGAAGTTGGGAGGGCTCCTCCTCCTTGTGAGCCTCATCACCCTCAGCTTAGAGGTACAGGGGCTTCAGGCTGAAGTGAGACCAGTTCAAGATGTGGGTAAGTCCAGGCAGAAGGCAGGCTCCTTCTTCCTTGAAAGAGGGAGCCAGAAGGTAGGACATCTGGGACCAGTGTGTGCAGGTGGAAAAGGGAAGTAAGGAGAGAAGGAAAGATGTTGGAGTCAAGGAGGCATTGCAGAGACCCCCCTTGACTGCAGACTCTCTTCTGCCTCCACTTTCTCCCCTCCTTTCCCTGGGTCACCCCTCCATCTGGGCTCTCCACTCTTCCACTTTGGCCCCTCATCAGTCACCCTCCATCTCCCATGCATCTCCCTCTTCACCAGCTTCTTTGTCTTTTGCTACAAATAGATCGGATGGCCTAGAAAAATATTTTCTTAATCATATTAAACATGAATCATCTCAACCTCTTCTTTCCATTTTATCGCCAGCATTCTCAAAGGACTAATATGAATTCTCTGCCCTTACTTCCCCATCACTCATTCCTTATCCCCTTAAACACTGACTGTAGTCATTCTTTCCCCAGCACTCTCCTGAAATTTCTCTCCCGGGTCCTGTTGACAAATCTCTTGACTCTTCTCAGGAGCCAAAGTCTTTATTCTCTACAACATCAGACATTGTTTCCCACTTCATCAATCCTCAAGCTTTCTTCTCTTCTTGATTCTCTTCACTGGATCTTCTTCTTCTCCCTGAAGATTATTGCATTCAACTTTTACCCCTCTACCTTCTTCGCTATCCTTCCCCTACCTCAAACTGGTTGCTAAATTCCATTCTTTGTAATTGCCTCTTGCATGTGTTTCTTCCTCTCCACCCCCATAGCCACACTGTACTTCCAGCCCTGATTTCCCCATCTTAGGTCAGCTCAGTCTTCCCAGCAGCTCTCCCGGCCCCTCTCTTCCTTCTGAAGTTTGTTAGCTTGATGAATCCTGGTCCATTCTCTGCTCTCCCACCAGAATAATCTTCATAAGTAAACTGTAACCATATCCCTCTCTTAGCCTCCCAAATGAAATCCACACTTCCCAGGTCCTCAAGATCCACCCACTGTAACTTTGTTTCCTGCCTACTTTTCCTGCTCAACTTCCCAAAGTGACACTGCCTCCTTGACATTGCTGAGTGATCCAATATAGACCTTTGAGTCAATCTGATTTTCTTTTCCTCCTGGGAATTTGAAATGTGGAATGCAGAGACACAGAGACTAGAAGGCTTTCTGGTTGAGTCACATTAATGACAGCACCCTCAAGAGGAGTTTCATAGAGTTAAGAGAACTGTTACTTATTCCCTCTATGGACAGTAGTGTTCATACAGACTTATCAGGCTCAACAGAACTTATTTGTCTAGGGGAATCCCACAGAATTGGGCAGTATCTTACAGCAGAGAGTGAAAGATTTCACTTATGAATTTCAGTTCCTTAGATCCATATATATGTTCTCTTTCCAAGCCTGTGGGTAGGTTGAGTGGGATTGTGTTGTAACTGGAGTAGTTCGGGACAGAATGAGGATCTCCTCCCATGAGGAGGTATGGGTTTATCTGAGCATTGATTCTAGAACAGTTGTCATGTATTATAAGGACAGAAAGATTGATACCTGCCCAGAAGGGCCACACAGAACCTCTGGTGCTTGCTTGTAATAAGCACTGAGGATAATGAACATCCCATGGGTCAGAAATGCTGCAGCAATGGTGTGGGCTGTACTCACTGTCCAACAAGTGAGTGTAAGAACCCAGTGACCTGCTTGTGAGTAGAGGACAGGCCCCCTCTCATCTTCTCAGGGGAAAGGAATACCCACCTGCCCTCTGCACATGGAAGTCTCAATAAGTCCTGGGGTGGAGGGGTTGGTTGCACATGGCAAGAGAACTGGCATTGTCCTACGTAACACAGGGCATGGGAAGAATAAAGGATCCCCACCCCAGCCAAGGAGGCAGCTGCTTCCAGCTGCTCAGCTGAGACACACAGCCATGATCCCGGATTCCCAGCATCAAGGTGTCCCACGGCTTTTCACGCTTTAAAACTCCGATAAAAAATCCTTGAGATGGTTTCTTCTGCATTATTGAGGTAAAAGATGAGATGTAAAAGATACAGGAAGCAAGCATTTATTGATTGCTGGTCAACACCAAGGCACTGTGCTTGGTGCTGGAATAAGAACACATATCAGATGAACTCCGCAGGACACACTCATATGTATAATTATAATATCACCTGCCTGATGCCGCAGCAGAGATTTGTGCAGAGTTCTGCAGGAGCACAAAGGGAATTATTAGCTCTTGTCCAGGCTGTTGGGAAAATGTTTAGGTGGGAGGAACTGTGTGAACTGGAACCTGAGGGGTGAGGTGGAGATCAGCAGGTGGAGGGGGAGCTGGGTGAACCATCCAGGCAGCAGTACTACTAGCTGCACAGCCTTGGGGGTGGGAAAGGTTGGGGGCTGGATCTTGGAGGAGGTGGGGTTCTAGGGTAGTGGGCCTGGAAGAGGCTTTAAGGGGAGATCCAGGGCCAATTTTGGAGGGGCTTCATTGTTTTGTCCAGCAAGGTGGATAGAGATCCACTGGGGATGATCAAGCCCAGGCAGTGCGATGACCAAATGTGTATTTAGAACAGCACCTCTGGTGGCAGTGAGTGATAGATGAGATCCCTCCTACCTTGCCCATTGAGTCACCCTAGAAAAGTCCTCTAGAGTCTGTGTGCCCAGGATGAGGGGAAGCTCATCCATGGTCCTTTCCTGACTCTTTTCTACTCCTGGAACCACAGCTGTGGACGGGAATGACGATGAATGTTGGATTTCTGAGGATTTCGGGAAGCATTGCAGTGTGGTTCCTTTTGTAGAACTTTGATCTCTAGTACCTTTGTTCTTCCTTAACTCTATCCATTCTGGGTCATTGTAAGCAATTAATGTGTGTGCAGGAGTTCCTACAATCAGCGTCACATTAAAGAGAACATACTAACCAAGTGCCACGTGGGCAGGGCTCTTACTCCAGATGATGGAGCTGCTAAGAGGACAAAGTAAACATCCTGCCCTCCAGTCTTTTCTTACTGACATCCTCCAGGCCAGGCCACCTGCACTCACTCATTGGGGTCAACTTCCTCAGCCAAGGGTGAAGAGAACCCTTCTCTCTGGACAGCTATTAGCAACACAGCTCTCCCTAGGCAGCAGGACTGTAGGCTGTATTCTTACCATACATAACTCATCTGATCAGAATAAATCAGTAAATTTTGAGTAAAGGAGATATAATAATGTGGATGGGCTTCATCCAATCAATGGAAGGCCTTAAAAAGACCAAAGTCCCCTAAAAAACAAGGAATTCTGCCTCCAGATTGTCTTCACACTCAAGCTGCAGCATCTACTCTTCCTTATGCCAGAATCTCTCCTCTTCAGCCCAATAAGATGAAAACCTCTCACACCCCAACATGAGTGACTTTAGGATCTGCAGATCATAGCCCATATGATTACTCAGAGTTCTGTAGGATCAGTGCTCTGGAGAAGGAAGTCAATAGGCCATGGCAGAGAGAGTTAAGAATACTTTAACTGAGAGTACAATTTCATTTAGAGTGAAAGGAAACAAGATTTACCTAGCCAGGCTCTCATAAAGTGTAACTTTGCGTGGGCACAGCCATTAAGTGCATTAGCTAAGATCTAAGATCAGACGTCTGTAGTCCTCAGCCCTGGCTCCAGGGTCCCACTGCGGGACATGGAATTGACCCGGAGTCAATGCTTGGAATGCAGCTCTGTTCACCACTCTTCCACCAAGGAAGCCCCAAGAATGCCACAGGCTTAGGGACTGACACCTAACCTGTAGGTAAGGATTCCTCCCTTGTTCTAGGGTTGGACATTTTACAAGGTCGTGTCACAAAAGCAGTGGAAGCCAGGGAGTGAATGACCTGCATCAGGTCACTGTCTGTCATTTATGCGTGTCTTTCTGAAAACTTGAGAAGTAGACAGGGAGCTTTAAGCATCTTCTATAAGAATGTGGTCCTGGGATGGAGGTCATCAGCTAAGTATTGGAGCAGGCTCAGCTGGGACTCGCTTCTGGTTTGTTTAGCAGTGCAAACTCAAGTGTGTTCCATCTCTCTTCTCCCTGGGTTTGGCCGTCTAAGCTTGGAGCTTGATGCCCTCAGACCGTGGGTTAGTTCTCCTTACTTTTCTTTCTACAGTGTACAGCTCAGCCACACAGCCTCAGTCTGGTGGGGGAATGAAGGCACATTAGCATTTCTGCCCACATTTTCAGGGTTGCTGCATTGCATAACTCCAGGGGCGACTCCTCACACTGCAGTCCAGGGGAGTAGCGCCCCCTGGTGCTGTGCAGTCTGCAGGCTCTGCAGCACTGTGCATAACTCTGCTCTTTGCCTGTGATGGTTGCTCTGCAGATGACTCCTCCTCCTCTGCCTCCCGACTTCCCAGGAATTTCCAGGAAGGTCCCTCCTTGAACTTGAATAAACCCCTCACCTCCTTCCATTCTGACTTCTCAGTCCTGGTCTGACCCTTGCAAGGTCACATGATTATGGAAACTCACCAACCACTCCTGTCCCCAGGGCACTGTCTCCTGATCACAGTATCTTCCTCAAAATTCATAACACCAGTCCAAGCATGAGAAAGCATCAGAGAAATACAAAGTGAGAGGCATTCTACGAAATATTGGACCCGAGGAGACTATGGCAATGTCAAATTCTAAAGGAAAGTAAGAAGATGTAACTAATAAATGCAGTGTAGTCTCTAGGATTGGATCTTGGAACATAAAAAGGAAATTAGTGGAAAAACAGTGGAAGTCAAATTCTGTATTTTGGTTAATAGTAATATGCCAATATTGATTTCTTAGTTTTGACCACAATACCATGGTTAAATACAATTTTAGCACTAGGAGACTGGGTGAGAGACATACAGGAAGTCTCTGTATTATCTTTGCAAGAAATTTGAAAACTTCAATGAAATGGTGAAATTCCTTGAAAGAAAAAAGCTAATTGCACCTCTTATTGATTTATTGCCTCTCAGCTCCAAATTCACTCTTTTAGACTGTCCTGTGAAAATAGATCTGGGCCCTTTAAATCTATTCTTTCTTGCCAGACGGCGCAGGAGCTCTGTCAGGGGAGGGCCCTGGAGAGGCGTTTCAGGAGGAGGTTTGCCTCCTGCAGCACCTGCAGCTTGGGCAGTGCTCAGCTCTGCAGTGCTGGCAGCCTCTCTGGCGCTCAGCTCCTGCCCTGCGTGGTGGCCAGCAGCACTCAGTGGCCAGCAGTTCCTGCAGCATCGGCCCCCGCCCCAGGGTTTGGGAGCAGAGTGCCTGCAACCCCTGAAGTGCAGGTTCCTCCAGGGCTCGGCTCCTGCAGTGCTCAGCACCCAGGAGCACCCAGCAGCCAGGGTCTTCCCTGACACTCCTTTTGGGCAGCTTTGTAGCAAAGTGCCCCTGCTGAGACACTTCCTGGTGAACACTTTTCCCTGGCACCCTAGAGGTGCATTTCTGGTAGGTTCTGCTGGACCAGCACCAAAGTGACTGCCATTCCATGAACCTGACTGTGCTTCTCCGACAGGGTCTGGATCTCAGCCCTGGGGGCAAGGGGTGGGGTAAGGGGCTCGTCCTTGGGCACTCTATCTCAGTCCTAGGGTTAGTGGCCATTCCTTACATCTGCCACCCTGATACTCTCTAGAGTTCTCCTTACTTCTTACTAGTCAGTCCCTTGTTACTCTAATCCCCTATTGTAGTTAATCATTCTTTATATTAAAATTACCCTGCTCAGATTCCTGTGTGGTACCTTTCTTCCAATTGGACCCAGATTGATACTCTACCAAAGCCAACTCATGGAGACCTAGATAACCTGAATTGCTCTGTATCTATTACAGAGATTAAATTAGTAATTTAAATGCTTTCTCTGTAAAGTAGGAGGCAAGGTCACCTGCTGAGTGTGAGAGACTGAGTTTGAGGAGAATGGGAAGGTTTTCAATAGTCCTTATGAAGAGTGGGAGCTTGTGTTGATGTTGCAGTAAATTGCAGGGCCATGGGGAGGTCCTATGTGACGTTGTTCATCATGAACTTATGATGGAATTCATCCCTTTTGGTGGGACTCAGGTGCAGGGAAGGAGAAGGTGGATAGTTAGGTGCCTCCAACAGTGAGGTTTGGCCTTCAGGTACCATTAAAAGAGAACAGAGTTAGGGTACTTTAGGTATTGAGAAGAGGGTGCGAAAGATGAGGAGGAAAGGCAAAAAATAAGAGAAACTGGAAAGGAAGGGGAGTTTGTCCTGATTTACAAGCAGGTGGCTAATTGGAATGAACATCTGGGTTTTATCTCATCTCCCTAAGGTCCCATCTCTCCAGATACAGTCAAAGTTGAGGCAAATTGACCTCAGTGGTGGTGAATTCTGTACAAGGCAGCGGGGACAAGGGGTAAAAACCAGAGCTTGTTTACACAGAGTTGGATCAGCCATTTTTTTGGACTAATTACACAAGGATGACCATTTTTCTTCTTCTGAATTTGTTAAGGTAGGAAGAGGAAGTAAACGCCTCTCAATGGTACCCAGCCGGAAGAAAGAGTGCCTGGCATCCAGGGACAAATTTTCCCATCTCTCTCCCAGCACCAGGAGGTCACTCACTGGTGGATTCTCAAGTCCTGTGGGGGGGGAATGGAGTTCAGATAGTTTAGAGGGGATTCCAGCAGTGTGATTCAGTGGGGCAGACCAGCTGGAGGGTGCCAGAACCCTGCAGCACGACATGTTCCATCAGCCCTCCTAACTGCGTTTCCTCACTCCAGTCTTGCAGCTCTGCAGTCCATTCTCCATGTTTCAGGGGTTTTCTTCCTTCTTCTCTTAAGTTTTCATTGTACAAGTAATATATGAATGCCTTCTTACCTCAATCTTATTTCAGATAAGACTAAAGACCTCTTGGCTGCCTAAACCCTCCCCACTCCCCGCACCCCGCCAACTCACTCTGTTGTTCCTGAGAGGTGGTGCTGTTATTATTTGGGAGGTTATTGTTCCAGAATTCTTCTGCATTTTCCTGTATATATATGTAGATATAAATGCACACATATTTATCACTGCCTTAGGGAAGAGGGAGAACAGATATGTCCCTTAACGGCATCATGCAATGCCATATACTATTTAGACCTAGGTCCTGATGCAGAGGTAGAGTATTACAGAAAAAAAGTCAGGAAATCTGATGCCCAAAATATCTGAATTTGATTTGTCAGGGAGGGGAAAATGTCCCCCTACCTCTCTTGCTTCTTTTGGCTGGTCTAATAATCAAATTGACATAAGAGAGATTAACAGGAGACAAAAAACCCAAATTTTATTTCCTATGTACAGAGGCCCCATGGTATGGGACCTAAGAAGCTGGCAAAATAGGCTGTTTGTATACCTTTTTTAGACAAAGAAACAATCACTTGTGAAGGTTTTACAAAACAAAGGAGTTTGGGCTTGGGGTAGCAAATTAATGAAGGAATAGCCAAGTCTGTTTGCACAGCTTTCTCGGCCTTGGGTTCCCTATCTCAGGGGATAAGGATGCCTTCGATCCTGCTGGTGTAGGGAGGAGGCCCTCACAGGTGAGGTTTATTCCCTGCCTTCAGGAGAACAAAGAAGGTTCATAGTGTTCTTCTTGTATTGGCTTTTTCTCAAGCAACTTTAAAAATAATCACTATGCCACCTGGGCATACTTTCAGGTGATCTGCCCTGGCTCCATCCAATCCCATTTCGTAACTTTATAGCCTTGAACAAGATATTTAACCTTGTCACACCTCAGTTGTGATGCCTAGTAGATGAAGCACCTTGTGCACAGATGTTCTTGAGTTATCTTTCCTCCTCCCTGTCTATATCATCTTCTCCCATTCTCTCTCTCTCTTTCAATCTGATAGATTTCTTCATTACCTTAAGGACATATTTCCCTTGACCCAGAGAACTTGTTTGTAAAACTGCCCAACACCACACATGGTCTGTGTTCTTTTTAGCCAAGTCACTTACTTGGAGGAGCCCAAGATTCAAGTTTCCTACATGCTGATGCTGGCCTTGACACTAGCCCAGTTCACTGTCCAGGAGGGTAGAAATCTCAGTTCCTTTGGTTTTGCTGCGTTAGCACCAATGAAGTCTTCAACAAGCAAACCTGAAGTTGGGTGGCTACTTCCTCCTTGCCATCTTCCTCACCCTCAGCACAGAGCTCCAGACGGTCGGCAGCTCTAGGCCAAGACCAGATGCACCTTTCTCAGAATGAGAGCCAGAAAGTGGGAAATCTAAGACAGGACATGTGCAGTATTAAAGAGGGGATGGAGGGGAAGATGGGTAAACATGGAGAACAGTCTCCATAAGGAGACACTGTCGCCACTCATCACCATGCCAGCATCTCTCTGTGTCTGCCTCCATCCTCTCTCACTGTTTTCACCAAGGCCAGCCTCTCCATCTGCACTCTTCAGCCCTCACCTCTTGCTTGCACCCAGCTCTGTCAGCTCCTGGATCTCTCCTCAGAATCTCTAACCCTTTTCTCACCTTTTGCTTCTACGTACAAAGAGATAAATCTCCCCATTCTTCTTTTATTGCTTGTGTTTTTCATGTCATATTTTAAAAACCATTGCCTCATCCAAGGTCACAAAAATTTATACCTATGTTTCATTCTAAGGATTTCATAGTTTTAGCTCTTAATTTAGGCCTTTCTCCCTTTTGAGTGAATTTTTGTGTATGCATATGGTTGGAGGTAGCACCCATCTTTGCAGGTGCAGTGGTGGCAAGCATTTGAAATGGTCACCCTGGACTGCAACAAGTACCTAGGAGGTCAGAGATGAGCGTGATTCTTGAAATGTTGATGAGTTTCTGTGCTGAAGGTCAACCATTAAACTCCCTGCAAAATAACCCAGCCGTTGGGCCTCCCAAAAGATACTTAGGATCCTCAGCCATATAAGGCCCTAGGGAACCAATCTGACAGCATACATGCATATGTGCATGTCAGGGCATCACAGAGAAGGTCTCTAATCAATACGGACTCAGGGCCAGGTCTGCCTGGGTTCCAACGCCAGCACCACTGCTACAAGCCCTGTCTGTGGGCAAGTCAGTTACGTTCTCTGAGCTCCCGGCCCCTCATTTCTGAAATGGGAATTACATACCTCTCAACAACAATTTTTGTGCCACTGGCACACACTGGAGCTGCTGTATGAATATGGAAATCTCTCTTCTCCTTCTGTTTTCCTGCTGATCAACAGCTTTGGCCACAAAGCTAAAGCTTATTTCTCTGAATTTTCTTTATTTTTTTAATTTTTATGTTTTTTGTTTATTCAAGTTACACATCTCTTCAAAAGTTAAAATGTCATAGATCTAAACAAAAAGGGCTAAATCTGCCCTCAGTTCCCTCCACTTGAAATAATCACCATTAACAGTTGGATAAACATTATCTTCATTTCCTCTATGAATGTGCTAATAGGTGCTTATTTTTCTATGATGTCCTGTTTCATACGCCGTTCCTCTATGTAATATATACCATGTAGAAGTGGGCCCATTGCCCAATCACCACCACTTCCCGATACCCACACCTGGGGCTTCTTTGTATTCATGCGTCTTTTCTAACGTTAGGAATCTGTGTGGACCGGTGCCGAGGAGACCTGGACTGTGGGGCTGGACAGCGGTGTCTCAGGAGGGGATGTCGTCGAACCTGTGCTCCAGCCCTGGGACCAGGTAAAAGCCCCCCGGCCTGCCCAGGGCTCCAAACCCCACACAACCCAGCGAGACTGTGGCTTAGCTCTGCCCAGACGGCCTCCCTCAGGGGCTTAATCCTATGGTCTCTGCTTCCAGGCTTGTCCTTCCTGAGGGAAGAGCATGTCACAGACCATGTGTCCCGACTTTTGGAGCACAGAACCTTCCTCTCTGATTTTGTTATGCAAGGAATGCCTACTCATTAGAGAAAAGTCAAATACTGATAAAAAGATAAATTATCCATGATTCCACCACCTAGATAACCATTTTAAAGAAACGCTTTCAGTATCCATCCACCCACACAGATATGTACTTTTTCTGAGTTAACAGTGGATAAATGTTTATTCTTGTGGTTACTGCATGCCTGGCTCTGTGCTGAGTGCTGGGCCATATTTAAGGAGAGGTCTATGTCCTTAAAGATCTTACAGTAATAGTTACCAGTGCTGTTGAGTTGATTCCGACTCCTAGCGACCCCATGCACAGCAGAGCGGAACCCGGCCTGGTCTCTTTGTGCCATCCTTTCACCTTCCGGTGCTATATTTGCCATGCCTGCTGCTATTCTTAGGTTTTTCCTGGCCAATTTTTCTGAAGTCGGTGGCCAGGTCCTTCTTCCTGGTCTGTCTTAGTCTGGAAGCTCCACTGAAACCTGTCCACCAAGGGTGACCCTGCTGGTATTTCTGATGCCGGTGGTATGATTTTTAGCATCACAGCAACACACACCATCACAGTACGACAACTGTAGAAGAGGAGTTTGGTACCCTGACTGGGAAACAGACCCAAACATCGTCGTGAGGGCACTGAATTGCAACCACTAGATCATCATCATACAGTAATAAAGATGAGCAGAGAAACCAACAAAAATCTAGGAAAACAGAATATGTGTATGATTTTTACAAACATGGTGTCATGACATCGTCCCTAATCAATAAATGCAATTCTATCACATGTTTTAAATGGCTTCACTGCTCTCCAGTAGAGGGATAGGCCTTATTTTCCACAACTTCTTCTCCTCGTGCAGATTGAGATAATCTGTCACTTTCAGCTACTTTTTAGTAACAAATACAATACAAATGTCCTTAACCTAAATCATATTTCTTTAGGATAAACTCCTAAAAGTGGTATGGCCAAATATACATTTGAAAGCTTCTGATGTATATTGCTAACCTGCCTAATGAAGATGTCTTTGACACCAAAAACATATGTAGCCTCACCCCACATATCTGTAACTTATTGGACAAATACCTACTAACATTTTATGCACATATACGTGCGTGTTATTGATGTGCTTCCACCTATATTTGTAAAAGCACACAGAAAATTCCAGAAGGAGCTACAAGAAATAGGAGATATCTCCTGGGAAGGAGACTTGATACGTCAAGAGAAAGGGAGATTTACTTTTTACTTTATATATTTGACTATTTTTTGTCCTTTAAAAATAAAAATTATTACTTTTAAAATAGTGGAAACTGTGTAGAATCCATATGCACATATTTTGAATTGAACAAAAGTTTAAAACAAATAACGCCCTCATAAATCTCCCCTGGTATCCTGCCAGGATTAACAGTTTTCGGCTGAATTTTTTCTAGTGATAGGTATCTGTGTGGAAGAATGCCAGAGACACCGGGACTGTGGCGTAGGACGTCTGTGTGTCAGCAACGGATGCGGCCATGTCTGCCAGCCAGCCAGAGACCAAGGTAAAAGCAGCAAGCCCTGCCTTCTGCCTCCCTGACCCACTGAATGCTTAGCCCTGCTGGGACATGGCTACCAGGCCCCAGCACAGAAAGAAACAGAAGGTGGCTACAGCTGGGGCCAGTGGTAGCCTCTGTGAGAATTAGAAAAGATGCTCCTTCCTCCAGGGCTAGAACACCGTGAAGCTAGATTAACAACATTTTGCTTTAGAAGAATTTGTAAGCTTGAAAAAGATGGAAATACTCTTAAAACAGAAGTTACATATCATTAGGGCACCAAATTATTCCTCAGCAAGGGCTGGAAAGAACATGGTTATGGACAAGTTAGCCTGTGTTTTGCACCCAACCACGTGTCCACACTGATGTGAAACACACAGGTCCATTCATTCATTCCACCAATATCTACACCTGCCCAAGCCTTCTTGCCAACAGTGGGTGGCAGCTGCTATTTCACCACAGAAGCTTCATTTCTTTACTCTCCTGACTGAAAGGCTAGGATCGATTGAAACCACTACAAATTTCATGGGTGCATGCAGTGGACTGGGAAGGAGGCGGGTGTAGAGGGGTTAGGACTGCATGAATAATCCAAATAACAGCTTGCTTACACACCTCTACCTTATCTCAGGCTCAAGGGATAACCTCAGACTTTTAGGGAGGTGGGGTGTGGGGGATGGAGGAGTATGTAAGGGAATCCCACAGATGAAGGCGGTCTCTCCCCCGCATAGAGGAGAGAATTATCATCCACCAGATCTGCTTCACTTGACTCACAAGTGTAAGAGCCAGCCTGCATTTGCCATGCCCCTAAATGATAAGGTAGGCTGTTTGGGGGTGATGTCTAACAGGGGTTCCCAAACATCAACATGCATAAGAATCACTTGGGGGGGTTGTCAAAATTCATATTGCTGGGCCCCAGCCCCAGAATTCCTGAAGTATGTCTGGGGTAGGGCTCAAGAATCTGAATTTCTAACAAGCTCCAAGGGGATGCAGATGCTGCTGGTATATGGGACCCACTTTGCATAGCAGTAGGAGCAGAACTGGGGTTCTCTTTCAGATGGGGAGCAGGGCCAGACTCTGGGACTCAGTGTTAATTGGCACCTGACGGCACATAGCATTTGTGGGAGGCTGGCTCTGTTTCTGATCTGAGATTTAATTCTCTAGTCCCAGAAGAAGAAAAGGAGGGGGCTAGCAGCAATGTAGTCTCCTCTTCTCCCAGGATGCTGCAGCTGCTGGCTATCGGTACATTTTCCCATAGACAAAACAGCACTGTGTGCCCTCAAGGTTGAGAGGGGAGAAGATTGGGGGTGTTAAGAAGGGAAGAGGCTAAAGTTCCACCAGGGACCAAGGCACTTCAGCCCTCTCTCTCTCTCAACACCAGGTCCCACTCACTCTACAGAGGTAGTCTGGGTTCTGGAAAGACTGTTTGGTTTTTCAGATGGATCAAGACGTGGAAGTTGTCCAAGGCTGCCTCCAGGAACTATAGGAACTTGTGTTGAATTGTGTAGTGGAGATGAATCCTGTCCCAGGGGACAAAAATGCTGCAGCCATGGTTGTGGCCACTCCTGCCAAACTGCTGTTCCAGACGTGAGTATAACATAGAGAGCTGCTCATGGGAAGCATGAGTCCCTGCCAGCCTTCAGAGCACAAAAGGGATCCCACCAACCCCTGTGTTCATCGAAGTCTGGGTGGCATGGGGAGAAAATTGGTTGGTAGCAAAGAACCGGAATTTCTGGAAAGTGTCATGATTACCTTTGTGTTGTAGGAGGAAGACTTCCTTATCCGTTTGGATGATTAATGGACCTCGGCCTTCAGTGACCACTCCCAAGTTTCATCTTTATTCCAATACCCGGCTTCCCACTTTCCTACTGTCTTCTCCTGGCTGCTTTCTATTCCTGGAACCCCAGTACCACAGGATGAGGATCTAAAATAACTTTGTCTTGAGTGTTCAGTTCTGGCGATTGTTGGAGGTATCATGGCATAACTTCTTCCGAAATTATCCTTTTTCTAAATAAAATTACTTCTGTGGCATTATCCAACCTGAGTCGTTTTTTTCTATGTAAGATTTTAGCTCACTTACATTAGTACCTCCATCTTCAAAAAGTATTTAATCCCAACCCTTGGAACCTGTGACGTTTCCATTATCCATAACCCCCCATATCTTCTCTGTCCCCCTTATCCTAACTCCTTATATCAGATATTTATAGTCACAACAACTATGTATAACAAGCTACCCCAAAACTCTTTGGCCTAAAATAACAATCATTCTCCCAGACCTGTGAGTTGGCTATGGGGTCAATGAATCTGTGCTGCACTCAACTGGGCAACTCTGATGTTCTTGGTTGGACTCACTCGTGCCTCTGAGGTTGGCTGATTCAACTGGGGTTGGCTGGGGTGACTTGGTTCCACCCCACCCATTTCATCCTTCTCCTAAGCCAAAGACCAGCCCAAGCACTCAATACTGCCTGGAAATCTCACCATATTTCCCTAGAAAATTCACTTCCTACTTTCCAATATGACTATTTCCTACTTCTTCTCTTTCCTCAAATCTCCATCTCATCTACCTCTCACTCTAGCCTCCACCATTCAGATGTCACCGGCTATCTCACTACATCCTTCATTGATAAAATAGTTGCAAGTCTGCAAAAATTCCCTCCTCTTCTATTCCCATCTATTCGTACCCATTGACTCCACTTTATCCTCTGTTCTAACGGAAACAATGATCCCTACTCATATTTAAATCCAACCCCTCCACTTACTAGTTGGATGCTTCTTGTCTAATCAAAGAATTCACTTCTCTAATTATTACCTTAGTACTGTGGATGTCTCCATTGCTCCTGGATCACTCCACCCTTGTCATACAACTATGTATTGACTCCTTGCTTCAATCCAGGTACCATCCACTCCACAGCTGAAATCCAACACACCACTGTGTATCTGTACTTGCTTTTCTGCTTCCTCACCCCTGCCCACCCCCATTCTCTCCTCAGGGAGCAGTCTCCCTCTTCCCTGTGATTGGTTCCAACCCCCACCTTCCTCACTCCAGCACTCCAGGCAAGCTTCCTCTGGTCTACTACACAATAAAACTGGGCTAATGCCACTGATGTAGCCTTAACTACACCTCATACTGGAGCCCTCCAAGCAGGGCACAAGGAATAGAATCCTAGCACACCGCAAAACGTATGTTCTCAAGAGCTAGTAGAGTGGCTGAGGGCCCTGCTGGCCTCCAGTCTAGATGATGCCCAAGGTACTGACAACTGAATTGTGGTTCTATTCATAGTACCAGCGCTCCATAGAGGTTATAAAGAATAGCCTGTTACCTTTGGGAGTTTAAAACCTAACTGAGAATAAGGAACACATCTAAAGGAGAAATAAAATATTTTATTTGATATATTATTAGGTGTTAAGATATTTTCCCTACATTATTTCCTTATTCTTACAACAGCCCCAGGAGTTGAGCATTCGGAGCCTCTAATTCTTGATGCGGTAACCTAGAGTGATTGATTCTCAAGATCACTTTGCCAGGATGTAGTAGAACCTGTATTTAAATCCAGACCTTCATGGCTCCAAAACTCCCTCTTTTTCCTAAACTCTATTACCTCCCATAATAAAAATGCAGGATGTGTATTTATCTGGAAATTTAATTCCAGCCAACTACTTTGAAAGCGGTTTTACTCACCACTCTCCCACAGTGGGAAGCACGTGTAGTGTTGGGGCCTTAGGAGCTGACACTAAAGGGTTTCCTAACACTCGGTTAGTGACTGGTTACAGGATTCTGGGTAAAGTTTTGGGGACTAAGAGCTTGAAGGACCTGGATCAATGATACAGTCTCTGTGCCAAGCTGGTTGAACAGTCCCTAAAATCGAGGCTATGGGTCTTGGGTCCTCCTGAAACTTTGAGAGGTAGAGAGGGGACCTCTAAGGGTGGGTTGTAAGAATACCACCATCTTCCCTGACAGTGGCTTGCAATGTCCCTGGAGTCTAAAGCCTACACGAGGCAGCGGCATTCTGTCTGGTGTATTTGGATCCATGCAATGAAAAGTCACTGGTGGCCCAGAAATCTGTACTCATTTCAAGCTGGTCCAAACCAAGACATTGGTTCACCCTCGTCATTTTCTCCTCTTCATTGAGCTTCACCTTCTCCATCTCATGCTGAGATCCCAGGGCTCTCAAACATTCCCTCTCCTGGGCCAATCAAATGCACAGTGTTGTAACTCCAAAGTCCTGAGCCTCACCAGCCTGTAAGGAAGGAACAAAATTATGTCTGAATTACAGCCTGGGCTGGCATGCCTTAAATCAATAAGAATGCATAATTCCGTAACAGCTGCACTACCACCATTATTCAGGAAAAATAAATACTGACTTCAAGAAATTACAATTCTCAAAAAGTATCCATTCCCCTTAGGAGTGCAGTGTGTGTGTCTGTAGGAGGGAGGTGATGGATATGAGCAAAGGATCAAACAGATTAGTCAAAATTATTCTGATTAATTAGAGTTCACATCGTATGACTTGGCTGCTGCAACAAATAAACCCCTGAAATCTTACTAGCTATTTCAAATTGAGGTTTATTTCTCCCTGGTATGAAATCCAAAATGGGTCTTCTCGAACACCAAAGAGTTTTCCTTCGGGTGGTAATTTGGAGACCAGTCTCCTTCCATCTTGCAGTGTTCACCAACTTCAACACTTGGCTTCAAGGACCGTTTTCCTATGTAGGTGCTTCGGCCTAGCAACAGGAAGAGAATGGAGGAAGGTGCAGGGGTGGGGGAGGGGAGTTAGGGACCTCACCCCAGAAGTGGTGCACAGCACTTCTGCTCACATTCCCCTGCCTAGAACTCAGTCTCACAGCCATAGCTACCTGCAAGGAAAGCTGGGACCTGTAATCTGCTGTGCTCTCAGGAAGAAGAAATGAGTTTGGTCAGTCAGTCTGCTGCTCATATAGAGGCTGGCCTTCCCGATTGTGACCAGGGTTGAATAAACCTATCTTTAGTGACCAGCATTCCATAGAGCCACTCTTGTAATGAAGGTTCCTCCAAATAGCTTTTCACAAAAAGAAAAATGAAAACATATACATAAAAGCTCAATCAAAATTTCTGAGATCTTGTGATAAAAGAAGGCCTGAGGATTCTGCACAAGGCAGAAGGGGAAAAGAAAGTTGTTATGATACTCAGATGTGGTGTTTTCCCCGCTTTGGAACATGGCCAGAGGCTTATTTACCCAAGGAATCTCTCCTTGTGTGCATTTCAGGTAGTGTGACCAAACGAGGAGTTCCAGGTAGTTCTGTGGAGACTGGCGGTGGGGGCAGAGAAGAGACAGTTCTCATTCCTGTTCCTAGATAAGCCCTGATCCCTGTAATATTAACGTTGGGATCTGAAATCTGGAGAACAAGAGTGTGGAAGGAAAAGGCATAAACAGTGTCATGTGGAGGCGAGAGCTTGGATTTGAAGTCAGAAATAGTTGGGAAATTAAGAAGCTGTGTAACCCAGGGAGTTACTATCTCCTTCTGTGTAAAGTGAGGATAACCCCTTAAAGCACTTTAGATCTTTAAAAGAGATGGAGATAATACATATTTTTATGTAAAAGATTTGTATATGTGTGTGTTGTAAAATCCGGCACACAGAAGTGCTCGGTAAATGCCAGGTCCCCATCTCCTCACCCCATTTCCCCTGTCATTGAAAGTGCCCTCCAGTCTTCAGTAGTCTTGAGTATTAGGTGAAGAAGCTATTTCTCTTGGCTCAGAGACTTGTTTGAAAACACATGATTACTCAATGGTAAACACAGGCCTGTGTCATCCAGAAAGGTCAGCTGCCTGTCAGGACTTAAGCTGCCAAATCCCCGTGTCTTGACCCAGGTTCCACATGCTGCCCAGCTCAGTGGGAAGAAGATAGAATCGCAGCCCATCTCTTTCATCTGTGTTGTCACCAATGGAGACTCCACTCAGCAACATGACATGGGGACTTCCTGCCCCTTGCAGCCCTCCCTTCTTAGGACAGAGCTCAGGGGCTGCCCTCAAAACTCACAAGGTGATTGGCAAGTCCAGGCAGCAAAGGCGTGTTAGTCAGGAGGAGGAATCAGATAGAAGGAAGTGAGGGCCCAGAGTGTACAAAGATGGGAAGAAGGGCAAGGCAGTGGGTAGGGCAGGGGACACAAGACATTCCACATGAAGAAGGGCAGGGGCCATCTCCAGTGCCACCTCCGCATCTGCTCCCAGGCTCTCCTCTTCTTTTCCAAAGCTCGCCCCTTAGCTGCACTCCCCACCCTGTCCTGGGCCTCCTCTGCTCCTGCACTCGCCTTATTCAACAAGGTGCCTTCTGGGCACAGAAGAAATGCTCAATAATACAGAGTCCATTTCCTTTCAGGAAGAAGCATCCTCTCTCATGTCCATGTGGAGGGAAACCTCTCACATCAGTGTCATTTTAAACCGACAACTCTTCTTAGAGATGAGGAAGATTGAGTCGCACACATAGAGAGGGCATGTCTTCTCCAAGATCATACCGTCGTGACGCTGAGGCTTAAACTTGGTGCATTTAGTTATAAGAAGTATTCCTTTTTTAAATAATATTGCCACTAACCCTGAAAACAGCAATGTTTGTTGGGTGTTTGCTCTCTCCTAGGCGTTGTGCTGAGTTCTGCATATAATTATCTCATTCAATTCTCATCCCAACGATGGGGGGTAGGTACTATTCTTATGTTTGCTTTGCAAGGGAGGAAAAAGATCTTGACAAGATTCAGTGACTTGTCCGGGGTCCCACAGCTACTGTCTTGGAGTCTGGACCTGACCCAGAGGTCGGGCTTCTGAGCTTAGACTCTTTCTGTTACATTCTCCAGGTCTGGTTCAGCACAGGGAGGTCTGGGTGGGAATACACATGCTTAACATTTTCATAGTCCCAGATCTTCCCCTGCGGTCCCTGCCAGTCAACTCAACCTTGGACTCATGCTCTGGTCTCAGAGCACAGGGAGCAGCAGAGCTGGTATTTGGGGCAGCTGATTATTCACTAGTCATTGCTGAGAATGAGCCCCCCACCTTGCAAAGGCTCTCA